ACCTTTCTAAGTAAATAAAAAGGGAGCCATGTGAACATTATTTCCTCTCATTAATCTTGAATCTTTTCCCAGTGAATCTGCCTCATTAGATGTTCTCGCATCTAATAATAATATAAGGGGGAAAAACTTTTTTAAAATAGATAATCTACCAATTCAGGTCTAATTCCCATTGTATGAATTGTTTCAGTAGTTTGAGAAGATTGGGGCTACAACAATAGCTTGGAGACTCCATTCCAGGCAACATAAAGGCTTCCTGTAAACTGATCAAGGTTATCATCAGTAAGGGTAGATAATTTTCTTTGACTGATAGTTTATTCGCTGCTATCAATCTTTTGCTGCTCCATACAGTTGAAAGGAGGTATCCAGAATGGCTTGAACATAAAGTACCAAGAGCCTGGCCACATGTTCTATCCTTCATTTAAAAAAAAAATGTACAGTAGTTTCTTGGCTCCCATGTTAATGCAGAAGAGATCTCTACAGACTGCTAACCTGTAATGCACAGGTGTTGTTGCAGGAATTTTTTTCTGCAGCACTTTCTCTTTCTCCCTATTAAGGTTCAGCTCTTTGCTTCTCAATACACCAACACAAATTGTGATGGAGAATTCCTCTGTAAGCAATTAGAGGATTTTGTAGTACTCTTGGAAGCTCAAAGTAGTCATTGAACTACAGTCTCAAATCTATGTGCAGCCTTTCCTAAGCATGGAAAGGAAACCTGCCCAAGTACTTAACAGTGTTGTTATAAACCAATTAAGCTGGGTTAATCCCTTTGTCTTCAGTGTGGCAGTTTAAATGGTTTGTGGTCCTTGCTTTTTGTGCATCGCAAGATTTACAGCCCAATTGAAAACATACTGTGCCAGCAGATTAAGTGCATAGGGTGGGAAACTTATTGACTAGCTGTACCAGGAACACAGTACAAAACAAGACATCATGCTGGTATTGCAGGTAGATAAATGCAAATGTTCGGCATCAAGGTGGTGCAAACGTAAATCATTATGGTTGATAAGCATCTTTATTTCTAGCATTTACTTTTTAATATTTAAATTGGCCCCTTTTCTTTTTAAAGGCATACAACTAATCCAGTGATTACAACCAACCTTACATTTAGGTTTTGTGGAACTTTGCAGAACACAGTATGTGAGTAGACTTAGGAGTTGTGGAAAAGTTCATTCAAAATTGATGTGACAGGAGATGTTAAAGAATACTGAGGTGCTTGCTGTGTTGCCTGTGAGATTCTCAAGAAAGAAAGAGAAAGAAAGGGGAAGAGAAAGGAAGGAGAGAGAGGCAGAAAGAAAGAAAAAAGAAAACAGAGAGAGAGAGAGAAAAAGGGAATGAAGGAGAGAGAGAGCGATCTACGCATACCTGGAGAGGAAGCTAGGCCTCACTTGGATGAATCCTGGTCATCCTATTCCTCATTTTATATAAAGAAAGAAAACAACTTAGAGAAATAAAGCATGCTGAGCTTTCCATCCCCATTTTTGTACATTTTTGTTTCTTACTTTAATTATTTTTACAAATAAATCAAGATGGGGAACATATCCACCACACCTTCCTTCTCCTATTTTCTCTACAACAATCTTATGAGGCGAATTGGGCCGAGAGAGAGTGAATGGCCCAAGATCACCCAGATGGATCTCATGGCTAAGGTGGGACTAGAACTCATGGTCTCCTGTTTTTTTTTTTAGCCATGTGCAAACTGGCTAGAAAGACCAAACTGTCTCTCTTTTTTTTTTTTTTTTCTATGTAAGAAAGTAATGTGTTTGTGTATAGCTGGACTCATTCTTAAAATTGACCTTACTTTTGCCTCTTACCTCCTGCCCCCATTGCTGGAATAAGGTAAACAGTGGTGTTACTGGAATTTAATTTTAGCACTCAAACCAAGTTTTATAAGTAGCTTTTTTTCTGCTATGTTCTAGTCCCCATGAATCTACATCTCTGCCAACATTCCTATCAAAAGTTCTTCTCTTCCATCGGAAGCCTTTGTAAGTTTCCTTTTTCAAAAAAATCTAAAACGAAAATGCTATTGCAGGGCTCACGCATGGTTTCTTGCTCTGAGCTGTTTGTCATCCACTTTTTAGTTTTCTGCAGATACTGAAGCAGTGGTAGCCATAAGAGTTTCAGAAACTTCTTGTACTATGTATCATTCGAATCCTCTCACTTCTTCTCTGTTACTTAAAAAGGCTCCAGGCTGATCAATTCTTTTCTTTTCGCATATATTTCTCCAGATACTCTAAAACGTAATACTTTTGGTATGGATGGTGTGCTGGTTTATTGCTGCTTTGTGAGCCACCTAGCATTATTGTGCATAAAATTAGCCGCCAAATATATGAAAGTTTCAGAAATAATAAAGTTACCTATCTTCATATTTTAATACAACCCCCCCCCCAAATTTATTTACACTCCAGTTTGCTTTTTTTCCCCCTTCACCTAGTGTCTCCTCTTTCTTTTCTTGTCTAAGAACATTGAATAAATTGTTCTCTCAACTTCTTGTGCATTTGTATGAAATAATCCCATCAATTCATTTCAGGCAGTTTTTTGTGGCTCATTTTACTAAGTCCACAATGGCTTATTTCATCAGTATTTTGCTGGAAGCAAAGGAAAATCATCAGTGTCAATGCTACCAGAATTTTGTCATGGGGTTTGATACCCTCAATCTATTAGTTAAGGTGAGAAATTCACTGAGGGACTTTGGTCCAGTTGGTTTCTTTCAACTCCACTTAATCCATAGAGTTACTGTTATGGAGACAAATAGGAGGAGGGAGCTCAATGTTTGCCACTTTGAGTTTCTAAAGGAAAGGCTGGATATAACTAATAGTTCAATAAACAATTATTGTATCCAATAGAAGAGAATATCTGTACCTCAGGGTTGAACTGTTCCATTCTTGGTGCTCTCTGAGCTTGATTGTTTTCTTGCAGATGTTTTATTAAGGGAACTTACCAAATTTGCAGATGATACTAAACTGGCAGGAATACCTAACACCCTAGAATTTAGGCTCAAGATCCAGATGGATCTTGACAGACTTGAACACTGCGCCTATCTAAGAAAATGAAATTCAGTGTAGAGAAAAGTAAAGTCCTTCACTTAGGCAAGAAAAACCAAAAGCACACACATAGATTGGGTGAAACCAGGCTTAATAGCAGTAACTGTGAGAGCGATCTTGGAATCTTAGTGGACAACCAGCTAAATGTGAGCTAGCAGTGTGCAGCGGCAGCCAAAAAAGCCAATGCAGTCCTAAGTTGCATTAACAGAGGAATTCAATCAAGATCAAGTGAGGTACTAATACCACTCTATAAAGCCTTAGTAAGACCACACCTAGAGTACTGCATCCAGTTTTGTTCACCACATTATGAAAAAGATGTTGAGACTCTAGAAAAGGTACAGAGAAGAGCAACCGGGATGATTAGGGAATTGGAGACTAAAACATATGAAAAATGGTTGCAGGAACTTGGCATGGCTAGTCTAGTGAAGAGAAGAACCAGGGAAGGCATAATAGCAGTGTTCTAATATTTAAGGGGCTGACACAGAGAGGAAGGGGTCAATCTATTTTCTAAAGCACCTGTAGGCCAGACAAGGAATAATGGATGGAAAGTGAACAAGGAGAGATTTAACCTGGAAATAAGGAGAAATTTTCTGACAGTGAGAACAATCAACCAACCGAACAGCTTGCCCTCGAAAGTTGTGGGAGTGCCATCATTTGAGACCTTCAAGAAGAGATTGGATCCCATCTGTCAGAAATGGTGTAGGGTCTCCTGCTTGGGCAGGGGGTTGGACTAGATGACCTACAAGGTTCCTTCCAACTCTGTTAATCTAATCTAATCTATTACCTGACTAGGTAACATCATGAGTGCAAAACTTGCTGGATGTTTATATAGAGAGATTTGCCCTGCTATTCTTGTGAGGATTCAATGCTGGATTGGAAAGACATTGCAAGAAAATAAATAAGTTCCCCATTACCACTTTTTGATGGTAGTCTTGCAAATGGGAATGCAACCACTGCAGAACAGTACCTCTTATTCCCAAATTCCAAACAATTCCAGCTGTTTAACATGATCAGTGGTATCAAATGCTGGTACAAGTTGGAAAAAAATCAACATATTGGAAGTAAAGTCCAGCAGGAATCTGAAAGGTTTATAGTTCCTTCTTGCAGTAAAAGGGCTAAAATGCCACAACAATATACTAATGTTGCAACAGTACGAGAACAGTATAATAGCATTAAATGAAACAATAATGCATAATGAAACAATAATGTAAAATGTAAAAATGTAAAAATGCAAAAGCATGAACTAAAGGGCAGTGAGAAAATGCATGCAATCACTGGCTGAGTGATTGCATGCATGTGCAAGTGATCAAGTGATTAGAAGATCTTTAATATTGGTGCAATTTATTTTCAGGAAAACTTGCTTTAGTTGATTCCTTAACTTTTCTCCTCCTGTTTTGCTACATGTGCTACTTCATGTCCAGATTACTTGAAGACAAAATCTTCATGAGATTTTTTTTGACCAAGCACATTAAAGGCAAGCAGCCAAGAGATTTTAAATAGCTTTCCAGTTGTTTCCATCAGTAGATATCTAACAGCATCTCAGAAGCATAAATGGTCCATTTAAAATTCATTTGAGAGTAAATAATAATAATACTATATATGTTTGTCACATTGAGTTATTTATGAAGTAATAAAAGCAGAATTTAAGAAATCCAGTAAATATAAATAAATAGGAAACACTCCTCCACAAGCTTATTCTGAGTATCAGAACGTTATATGAGTGATGAAGATTCAGACATATCTCAGACAATTAACTAATATATTATTAAAAGTTTTCTAAATTAATTGTTATCTTCAATTCATGATAGTGGCTTAATAATAAGCCTATACCGGATGATGAATATACGGGTCATCTCTTGAGATGTAGTGGCCTACTTGGTGACTTAATACCATTACACATATGCCAAAGAGATACAAGCGCTCTTCCCTTTTTGTTAACCATTTAAGTATTTCACTTTTCAGATATTCAAAGCAATCAATATCCCTCAAATTCGAGATCCCTCTTTGCCATCACTGCAAGATTTGCCCGAATCCTATCGTACCAAGATTGCTCTTCTTGGAGCAGGACCTGCGAGTATAAGTTGTGCCACATTTTTGGCTCGATTGGGCTATTCAGACATCACCATTTTTGAAAAGGAAAATTACGTTGGTGGTTTAAGGTAATGTTTCATCATCACCGTTTGAAATAAAGCATTCTGAAAATCACATAGATGTTATTATATGAGTGGGAACTTAAAGATGATTTATTTTTGACTTTTTAAAAATAGTAGTTTTTAAAATAATATTGTAACACTGATGAAGCTTTTGTATAAATTTATGTAGTGTTTCACAAAGTCTCTGAAACAATGAATCACTAAATAAATATTCAGAAAAAAGCAGAAATTACTATATTTAACATACATATATCCAAATTTTAAATGTGAAAATTCTCATTTTTCAGTGAATAAGTTAATCAAACTTTCATGTATATGTACTTATCATATCTTAATTTTTAAAATATTTATTTACCATCTGATTATTTTATGTATCAGATGTATTAAGCGATAACTTTTAGCATCAACTGCAGAATGTTCTCCAGTAAACATTTGTGAGCATCAAGCAGGATGGATGAATAGATATCCAGTTCAACAAAATCTAATGAATTTAATTCCTAGTCTTATTTTTTCTCTTTGGGTTGGTTGTGTGAAAGTAGAGTCTCATTTAACACAGTATATATGGACTCACAGTTGGGAATAGGCACTTGAAACCTGTTATCAGTTTGTTGAATTTTAGGTCATGTGATCCAGTTTTCAGCCATTAATCCTTTTTTTTAAATTTTATTTTGAGAATCACCTGTCTGCCAGTGAATTCAGGGAGGCAGGAACTCAGGCTCTGAGTGGCGTATGATATGATATGATGCTCAAGAATCAATATGTTGAAGGTTTGGTAGATCATCTATGGCAATTAGGAGACAATAGTTTGAAAAGCATTAAGCTAATATGATTTGATACTCTGGTAATCATAAGCTATCATCAGTTCAAATGTACCATATGGAAAATAACAGATTTGGTCATTTAAATTTATTATATGTTAGAATTATGGCTTGCTATTTTTAATATGTTCATATACCTATAGGTTTCAGGATAATTTACAAATCCAAAACATTAACTAAAGTCTTATAAAGCCTACAGTCAAAAACCTGGAAAATTATTAGGAAGAGAAAGATAATCCTTCTTAACAAAGTTCTTACAACCTCTGTGTTATCTGCTTAAAGTACCATTTTTCAGTTAGCTGCAAAATATTTGTTTTTAGAGTAGAAAATTGGATTAAGCGGTTAATAGATATTTGGACAAGAGAAAATACAAAATACTTTCTCAGTCCAGTTTCTGTTATGTACAGTAGTAGATAATTTTTAATAAACTCTAGTTGTTTGTTACTATTCTATGTTGCTGTTTTGCTTTACATCTGCAATTACATTTACTTACTGTGAATTCTTTGATTGAGGTTATGAAGAGAATGGCTTATGGGTTTATGGCAACCTTCTCTAAGTTCCAAAAAAGTCCAACCTGTTTTTTTAACTGTTTTCTTTTGTTGGTTTGTCCCCAGTTAGAAATTTGGGCCCTATTTTGTCCAGTTTTTGGAGATTTATCCTACTGGTGGACAGACAGCAATCCTTTTTCTAACATGCTACTTGGTAGACAAGATTAAAAAGGATTTTGGTCTTCTTTAGTCTTAAACTTGTATATGCAATAGTTTTATTTGGTTATTACATTTTAACTATTTTAAAAATCTTCCAACATGTTTGTCTCACATTCCCAACATTGGACACAGGAAGATAATATATTGCCATTTGATTTGTTTCAAATATGCCTTGTAACTAAAAAGAGTTAAATGGAAATTGGCATGCTGGCAAATAAAACCCCAGCTTCTAGCATGTTTTATTTCCTAAAGCCTATGCAGACTACATCAGAATTTTTTGAAAATGTAGAAAAGACAATTAGGTCTAGTGGTTAAGGTACCACATTAAAAACCAGGAGAATGTAAATTCTAATCCTACCTTAGGGATGTAAGACAGCTGGATGGTCTTAGGGCAATCATTCTCTCTCAGCCCAACCAAAAGAGTTCTTGTGGGGAAAGTAGGAGCAGGAAGGAGCACTAGGTATGTTCACTACCTTAAGTTATTTATAAAAATAATAAAGGTGGGCTAATTTGTTTATTTATTATTAAATGTATATACCGCCCAATTCGCAGTTCAATAAATAAATGGGTACTTATCGAAGGGCCACAGATATAGTGCAGACATTCTGTGACATGCTTTCTATATTTCAAATAGAGTTCCTTGTTCCAAATAGTCTCAACTTGCCATAAAAATTAATATGGTTATCTTTTGTGGACAGAATTAAGTTGTCTTCAATGCAGCTGAATTCAACTCTATTCTGTTCTTATCTTAATTAATTTATGCATTTCTTTAATCCAAAATTAAATAAATAATTGGCATTTATTGCATACTTAAATATATTTTAACGTACACAGTACATTTTGAACATATTTTATCCTTGAAATCTGTATTTTCATGGTATCTCACATGTCTAAATAGATTTTAACGGCAGTTACAAAACATTTTGGGGATTGAGACTGCTGTGATAGAATTTATCCATCTATGAAAGGCAATAGATAACAACACTTTGATCTATAGTTTAGTTTAGGATGCAGGTATCAGATTGACTTGCGTAACAATTTTGACCAAGGAAAAGTTCTACTTGTATAAATATTTTCTCTCTATAGTTTAAAAGGGTGCTGGGTAATTTTTGTGTGTTTATGACTTTAACTTAAGTTTCTTCTTGCTTTTTTATTAGTTTTTAGCATGTATTATTTTCAAGAACCCTTCTCTTTTTTATTTGTTCTCTCCAGCACATCTGAAATTCCCCAGTTCCGGCTACCATATGATGTAGTACATTTTGAAACTAAGCTTATGGAGGACCTCGGAGTGAAGGTAATGAAAAATATAAACTGCCTTGGTGTAGCTCACAGAAAAAGGAGCCAGAGCATTGTTAAAGATTAACAGCAAAATGTCATGGACCTTAGTAAAGAACAATTAAAAGCTACACTAGGCTGAGGAAGGAAGATGCTTTCCCTTGCTTGGGGCATTTGTCTGTCTGCTGTCTGAATGCCACTAGTTGGGGAAAGGGCAATCAATAGCTCATCTGGCTTGCCTGCATGTGATTAATTGTCTGCAAGAAACAAATACCTAAATTGCTTTAGGGGTTCAGTGTAGCTATTGCAAGGATTTTATTTCTTTAATCACGGATGGCTGTCGCTGCTTTTTTTTCCCACTTGTTTTTTTCTTCTCCCAGATTAAATTGTAGGTAAAAAAAATTAACCCAGGACACTGTGTGTGTGTGTGTGTGTGTGTGTTTATAAAATATAAACACACAGTTTATACAGTTTTTTTGCACGTGTTAACCAAAAGACTTCATGCAGTTTTTTCGCATGTTAACAAAAAGAAGTAAAATAGGAATTAATATTAGTTATAATTAAACTTACCTGAAAAGAAGTATCCTGGCATGTTTTGTGATGAAAGTTTTTAAACTTTAGATTTTAGACTGGTTTAAATTGTAACAATCTGCCCTTAAATGACAATACAAAGTGGGTGATAAAATTATTAAAAGCAACCTGTATGTTGATACAGTTTTACTTACAATCATTTTGGCCCTTAGGCTTCAAATTAAGTGCATGCAGATGAAGAATATAATATTGTCTTGCACACAGAATTATGTTTATAATTCTTTTCTGGAAATAATTTGAGAATTTAAAGTTTACAAGACTAGACTAAATAATACGATGGCCTTGTTTTTCCATTGCATATAATTATAACTCACAGCACAGTATAAGAAAAAAGTATAATATACTCCGTTAAAAATAGACTGCACTGGTCAGCATTTGCTTATGAGGCAACAATTTAAAGTCTTGAGCTTAATCTTTAAATATTAGGGTTTGATTATCCATTGTGTTACATCTCCTGTTGCAAACCTTTCTGGCAATTAAGAAGATGTAGGAGAGGCTCTTTTGAAGAGACTCCCACTGTCTTCTACTGCAGTGATTCTCGATCTGTGGTCCTTAGACCCCTGGGGGGACTCAAAATGTCATCCCAGGGAGTCCTGAAGCCTTAAAGAAATGTTATGATTTAAATCTTGAGCTAAGTCTTGGGGGTCCATGGCCATGGCCCATGGTATTTAAAGGGTGTGTGTGTCTGTGATGAAGAAAAGGTTGAGAACCACTGTTCTATTGCATTATGCCCAAGATGTAAAACGTATTTTCTTGGGAATTGCACGTGTTCCTCCCCCTCCCTGCAACAGTTAGGAAAACTGTAAAGAAGGATTTCCTTTGCCAGGTTGTTAATTTATTATAATTTTTTAAAAACATTATTTTAGTGTTTTACTTACACTAAAAATATTGTTAATTTTAACATGTTTTGAAATAAGTTATGTACTGCATTTATTTTTTTAGGTTTTGTGCTCTCCCTTAAATATTTCTCTGTGACTTAAATCAAGTATTTATCTATATATAAATGAATGGTAACTATTTATAATGTAAATATTTTTCTCAAAAAAATTACAAAAAATAAACAAGTTTAGAGTACTACAATTAGAACATCTTTAAAAAAAAGGTTTGGAAAGAAATTTACATTCCAGATTCTGAAAAGAAAAGAATTTCTGCGGAAGCAATTCATGAAGTGAATGCCATCTCTCTGGTAACCTATCTGAGATTGCAGAGGTATATTTTGAATATGACCTCAATATATGAAAGGTTGACACAGGGACAAATGTTCCTTCATGTCTGTGAAACTCAAGTCACACTGATTTTGCTGTTAAATATAAAACTTCAGTTGCATTCAGAAATAGGCTGATACTGCAAACCCTTTAAGGAATTTTCACCATAGTTTTTTCTGAACTTTGACACAAGTCTATGATCATCTTTTAAAGTTCATGTTGACCTTAAGTGGACCATTATGTCACTGAATAATCAACTGAATGACCAAAACAAAGCTTCTTAATTTGATCTTGTATGCTGCAGAGTATCACCAGTTGTGTGATGGGGAGCTATAAAAATCAGATAAATTAGCTGTTTTTATTTTGTATTTTTAATATTTAGCTACATGTTAACAAGAAGAGATCCTTATTGTACGCCACCCTAAGTCACTTACTTGTGAGGCGAGTGGCTATATGAATTAAATAAATAAATTTATCTAGATTAATTTCTCTATTTAAAATTTAAAAATACATACATTTTAAAAGTGACTGATAAACTTATGAAGACCTCCAATATTATCTTTCAGATCATCTGTGGAACAGGCCTTTCAGTAGAAGGTCTGACACTCAGTGCTTTAAAGGATGATGGTTACGAAGCAATCTTTATTGGAATTGGTAGGAATTCCTTCTTTTTACACTTGCTTTTTCAGGAATTGTTGTATCATGAATTCTGCCTTGGTTAGCAAGTGATACTTGATTTTTTTTCCCCATTGCCTATCTACTTTTAATCAGATTTAATTTGGAAATGACCACTTTTCCCACATGAAATGTTTATTTATCTGTTAAATTGTGATTATGCCAACGTTACTTCAGGAGTTTAAGATAGAGAGAGTGACTGGCTGAAAGTCACCAAATGAATTTCCATGGCTGAAGGTTAAGTTGAAGCTGAGTCTGCCCAAAGCTAATCCAACGTCTTAACCACTAAAACCAACTAATTCTCAGTGTGTGTTTCTTTGGAATGATGAAATTATGAAATAACATGAGCTTTGGCATTAGATGCTATGTTGCATTAGGAACAAAGTTAATAAAACCTGAATCAATATGTTCCAGTGCAATTATCACATTTCTAAAGAGTGCTTTATTTAATAGATGTCACTAATCTAGTCAAAATCTCAATATAATCATTAAGTAACAGAATTCCTTAGGGGACTTATTTATGCTAAATTAATGTCATCAGATTGCAGAATCAACATTGTCTCAACAACCTCTGCCTCTGTTTATTTGTTTGTCTATGTATTCTTTAGCCCTTAACTAAATAGAATGGTCAGATGGATTTTTTTAGTATACACAGAATTAATTGTAACTCCAGGAGATAATTATTTATGTTTACTTTGCAGTCCACTTGTTTATTTTAGAGGCATATGTACAAAACTGCTTTTCAAGCATTCAATTTAAGTGGAGATTTTGAAAGAAAAGAAATAATGAAAAACCGATATTAAATATTTCATATGTTAAATCCATAAATTTGATTTTTTTTAAAAAATATTATTTTAATATGTGCAGTTTAGAAAAACAGATGACTAGCATTATCATGAAGTGATCTCTTTCATATAGATGGAATAACTCTTGCTATGTAATAAAAATATTATGCAATGCTTGGTATGGTGTGTTCTAAACCTGGTGAACACCTTTTGCTCTAGCAATATTATTTCACTGAGATTTTTTCAGTTGTTTAATCTAATTATTAATTCATTTTTTGGATTTATCCCATATGGAGATAGTCCTAGTAGGAGAAAGTTCCTTCTCTAAAAAGTATAATATGTTGATGATTAATATTAATCCTGGGGGAATGAGATGGCTGATTTTCTCAATTAACAAGAATAACTTGCAGTCTACTTGGAAGATAGAAAAATATTGGTGGTATTCAATTTCTGTAGCGAAGCAACACAGAAAACAGGATAGTCAAACCAAGTGAACTTTGAAGAAGAAGACAAATCTTGTATCAAGATATTAGCATGAGGCAACTTAAGGCAACTTAAATCTTGAAGCCTTACCTTTATTACTAACCCATCTGATTCCTGCCAGTCCTTAACAAATTATATACATTGTAGAGCATTTGTCTTAGCTAGGTTTGGTGCATTGCTTTCAGCAATTATTGATGGTAAGTACTGAAAAATTCCTTTCTCTGCATCCCTTTGCCCATGTGACTCTCTTACTACAGAAGACAGCATATCCTAGTAGCCTGCAATTTCTACAGAAACGTAGTTGATAAATTAATTAGATTTCTCATTAAAAAATACCCAGGCAGAGATGATGTTCAGTTTACCTATTTTGTCCTGGTAGGCTGTAAGAACAATGTTGTTTACATGTAGCCAAATTCTGTCTGGCTGCTATGAGAATGAGGCAACAGATTCTACTAAAAGAAATGAATTCTTGTCATCTGGTATGTTAACTTTGTCCCTGTCTAAGACAGTAATAAATCTAATGCTATGTTATGCTGTTGTGAGGCTCACAATATATGTTAGTTTTGTGGAACCTAGTCACCGCTTGCCTTTCACAGAAACAAGTCTGAATATATGAGCATAATAAAAGAGTTAAGATCTCTTTGTATCTCAACTATTTTTAAAGTTCACATTTTTATTCAGGTGATGTTAGAAAATACCCTTTAATTCACATAGTGCCTATCTCCACAGTGTATAGCAGTGGTGGTTAACATTTTTGTGCTCCTGTGCCAAAAAATGTGCATGCGCTTGCGCTTGCCTGCTCGCATGCCAGCATCCACAAGGCAATGCGTGTGGGCCCCACATACCCCCTATGCAATTCCACCCCGCCGCCCCTTACCTGCACTTTGCCTCCCAGGTGATTTTTGGCCTCCCAGAGGCTTGAGGGAAGCCTGTGCAGCCTTTGCAGGCCAAAAAATAGGCCTGTTTCATCACTTCCTGTATTTCTTGAAATGATGAAACGGGCCTATATTTTGGCCTGCAAAGGCTGCAGAGGCTTCCCTCAAGCCTCTGGGAGGCTGAAAAAGGCCTTAAACAGACCGAAAATCAGCTGGGAGGTGCACACATGCGCAGTGAGGTAAGTTTGCCTAGGACTCATGTGCCTACACAAATGGCTCTGTGTGCCATTCACCATTATGAGTGGATAGGAAAGAGCTTGACCTAAGATCTTGCATACTTACATTTTACAAGTAACAAATACGGAAGTAAATAAAATTCATTAAGATACTATTGGTAACTATTTGACATTCAAGATAGTTCTCAACTTACAACTACTCATTTAGTGACCATTGGAAGTTACAATGGCACTGAGAAAAGTGTCTTATGACTATTTTTCACATGACTTTTGCAGCATCCCCATGTGATCATGTGATCAAAATTCAGATGCTTGGCAACTAGCATGTATTTATGATGGTTGCATGTTTCATAACCTTCTGACAAATAAAGTCAATAATTGAGAAAGCTAGATTCACTTACCCATGTTACTAACTTAGCAATTGCAGTAATTACTTAACAACTGTGGCAAGAAGGGTTGTGAAATGGGTAATTTACTTTACAACTGTGTTGCTTAGCAACATAAATTTTGGGTTCAATTCTAGTTGTAAGTTGAGGACTACCTATATAATTGATCTACTTTGGTTGTTACTTTCATCTCAGTGAAGCAATTGATCAGATTTTTAGCAGTAAGGTAGCTTTCCAGTCTTGAAATGCCTTTGATCTTGATAAGTAGAAGAAAAACAACATTTTTCACTCCAAAACTACCTTTGGTTTAAATCTTAGTGGACGTATTCATGCATAATAGCCCTATATCACTCTGATTATATTTTCTTCTTTCTTCAAGATAAAATTTAGCTGTCTATACAACAATCTGCAGCAAATAATAATGCTACTTTAGTGAAACCTTTCTTCCCATTTTTGCAAGATTGCAGAGATTTGTTTGGCATTTAAATGATGACTCTGCAAATGATATGCATATTTATCTGCTAAGGAATGTGAATGTACCACCAAATCCCTCCTCAGCATACACTGGCAAAATTGAGTATGCACAGCCAAGAGAGGTATGAGACTTAATGCTCTTTATTGATCGAGACGTTGCCTAAGTGAACATAATAAGAAACAAGTTGCCCAACTGTTCTTTTTTTTCCCTTGTTATTGATTACAAGAGTGGTAATTCTTAGTACAGCAACAACTGTTGTTCTCCATCTGGGTATTCAGTATAATAAGCTTTGCAGGTTTGTTCTCTCATGTGATTATACTACAGACTATTGTGATTTATATAATCCTAAATCCGTTCATTGTTTGAGGCCTTCCATGCGTACAAATTTCCATGGGGTCATATTTCTTGATAATTGTACATGAGGCAAGGTGCCAGGTTACTATCCCTCTTGATTTAATCCATTTGACAAACCATGTACCTTTCATTCTTCTTCACACCCTTTGCTTGGGGAAGAAATTAGATAGGAATACTTAAAGAGCTTGATTCTATCTATAACCAAGAGATAGGCTAAACTGTGCACCACATTTTTTTTAATGTATTGAGATTATTCAGATAAGTAACACTTGGAAATGTGTTAGAGTGGGAGCACAAGGGGAAAAATATTCTCAGGGAAACACAGAATTCAAAAGCTCAGTTTCTTTTCATTATTTTCTCCTAAACCTGACCTAGTTATGATAAACTACGCTTATGAAGTTGCCTTATACTGAGTCAGACTTGGTCTTCTGAGCCTTGGGTTGACAGCAAGTTTTCAAGAAATTCGTTTGAGAGTCCATTTCGATGCTCAATACTCCTCCAGCTTGATAGGCCAAGGAATAAAATGGCATGTAAATGATGGGATTTTGTGCATGTGAACATTTGTCCTACTTTTGAGTTGAAGCATTTTTATACCAAGCAAGGAAATCAGTTTGATTTAAACTATAATATTTTTTGTAGACCTCCCAGAATTCCTCTGAGGGAGATTTGTAACAGTGATTGATGAATTAATGGATTCTAGTTAACTTTTGCTATGTAAGGAACAACTTTCGCAATTTTGAATTTCTCAAACATATTAAATAGCATGAACGATGTTTTTTGCCTGACTTTTTGGTTTCAATTTGAACGCATTGATGGTACAAGTTCCAAAATGCTTAGCAGCAAAATCTTTATGTATCACATAACAATAGCAGTTAAAATCCCTATTATGACATAACAAAACAGAAATGCCATACTGAAAAGCAGGGTGTCTTTGAACACCTAGAAAAAGGTGTTGTGTCAAACATTCCAGCCTGGGAAAATACAGTAAAACTCTTTGTCTGGAACTTATATGACTTAATTTGCTGCTAGGGTTGATTTGTTGTGAAGTCTCTCGGAATCAGGGCATTACACAGTACTCTAAATAAGAATCTTCATTGCAACTAGGGTGAAGAAGCCTCACTGAATAGCTGATTGTCAGCAGCAGGAACCATTCCCACATATACCCTTGACAGTTTAAACACATTGCTCCTTCTTCCTATCTTTTCCATATTCTAGTGGATTTTTCTTCATGGCTTTGAAACTCAGACACTGTTGATTATTGATAGAACTTCTGTCTTTGTCCTGAGAAACTCTGGTTTTCAATTTATCTTTCATAGATAGGTAGTTATTGTAAGCTCAAGTCCTAGCGAAGCTATAATGAGCTAAGATGGAGGTACAAATCTAGATCTATAAAAATCAGAGTGAACCATATTATTTCAAGTAATAAGTTATCACATAGACGGCTTCCTTTGTT